GGCGGAAACAAATACAACATCAAGTGTGGGTCATTTGGAGGCCCTTCAAACAAAAGTCAATGGGGAAATGGAAAAACTCTTGGACACCAATGATTTTAGTAATTCCCCAAAGTTTTTACAAAATATTCAAAATTATTATAGAGCTTGTTCGGATAATTCCAAAAAGGAGCAAGAAGTTGCGGAGTATTTTAAATGGATAAATGCTGAGCAAAATATTAAAATGCCCACGGAGTTATGGAATAATGAAACCCATTGGGATTGGAATTATGATTGGATTGAATTGCTGGCTCTGACACGAAGATTGGGTTTTAATGACTTATTTTTCTTTGAAGGAATTACCCAACGAATTGATGATTCCCGACGCATGATAATTGAATTGAAACGCCCCTCTCTTGAGAAAATGCAAAGGCTTTGGTCGGTGGTTATGCAGTATAATATTTCAGAATTTAAACAGCTATTCGAACGATTCAGCGAATTTAATCAGGCTCTATTTGATGGCCTCTCTGAGTTGTATCCCATTCAAGAACCTTACTTGGATAGTTACTTTGATGATGATTCAGATTTGATAACAGTGCGGGATTTGCAAATGCCCTGGTTGGAGAAGTATTTATGTGTGCTCCTAAATCAAACCGATATTGATCCCCAAATGCAGCTCTACATTCAAAGTGTGGATTATTTGAGAGGAGTATCAGCTTTGCTCATAGAATATGATAATTCGCTGATTTGCGACTATATCCATTTGCAGTTCTATGTGTATCTCATGGAGCAGGATGTATCCAGATTAGCTGGGAGCTGCATGCCCAGTATGTGGCTTGAATTTCCCTTGGCTCTGCAATGGCTCTATGGAGAACGGCATACCGATCTCAAACGCGAACTGCTCTTGATTCAGGATATCTTCAACAATCTAAAGGGGAATTTTAACAAAACTCTCCACCAAAATGTTTATCAATTTCGTGGAGAGATTTTGAATTTCTTGCAACTGAAATTGGAAAATTTGAAACTGACAACCATTGTTGATATTTCCAAGGAAACGCTGGAAGAGTTCTACAGAAATTTAAATTTTAATGTGGAAGATTATTATGGAAATGTTTTGAAATTAAATTATTTCAAATTCAACATTAGCCATCAAAGTCTCCAAAAAGCTTTCTACTCTCCCATGGACTTGTTGTTGCTAAAAACCCTCTTTGGCCAAGAAGCCAACCCTGCTCAAATTCATTTGCCTCGTTTATTGACACGTCAGCACCTCATTTTACTGCCCCTAACCATATTGCAATATCCCTACTACAGCCTGGACATGCAGGATCTTTACATTTACAGTTCATTGGGTTTCCATTTGGCCCGCGAAATCGTCAAAGCTTTCAATCCCAGGAATTTGGAAATTGCGTTGGATGGGTCCTATGATTACGACACGGCCGATGAGATATTTGATTATGTGAAATTTGGCATTACAATGCGTCGCTTGAAAACCGACTTCGCCTTTAGCCATGCAGTGAGCGAAGTTATTGCCGATTTAGGTGGACTTAAGTTGGCCTATGAAACCTTTATTGCCGACAATATGGAAATTTTACATCGCGAGGTGTTTATGACCGGCGCAAACAATCATACTGTAAAACATATTTTCTTTTTGAACTATGCCCATAATTTTTGCAATCGGAATTGTGCGGAGAGTGCTATGAATTTGGGACAATATCATGCCTGTCAGCGCGTCAATGTGTCCGTTACACGTTTCGGTAAATTTCGTTACGGGTTCCAATGTAAAAGGCATCTGAAATGGGGTTATCCCCTGTGGCGAGAGGGAAAAGTGAATTGAAATGAAATGTTAATAAATTTTTTGTTGATGAGATTCTAAGAAATCCTTTGTGCTTTTATTTAAACAAATGCAAAAGAAAAGAAGCAAAATGGGCTTTGGCCGAAAATTCCTTGAAATGGAAACGTAGAAAGTCAAAAGATTGTTGTTATTAAATTCTACTATAGAAAATAAAATTCTAGCTAAATGCCTGGAATTCATATATGTTATGAAGTAAAAAAGAGCCTAAGTTCGACCGGGTCGAATTTTAATACCCTCCACCAAACCTCCAAAAAGTTTCGTCGAAAAATACCGTTTAAATGCAAACCGTTGTATGGGGGGTATACGAAGACGAGGAATGGCTTAAGTAATTTTTTGTCATAGACTGTAGTACCGATTTGGGCCTTCAAATACGAAATTTGTAACAATTCCGGTGAAAAATGTCGCTAAAATCATGAAAATACCGAATATCGGGTGGTACCGTTATGGGGGGGCTATACGAAGCCATGGACCTGCATCCGAAATTTTTTGTCATAGGCTGTAGTACCCATTAAGATTATTAAATACGAAATTATAAACAATTCCGGTGAATACAGTCGCTAAAATCGTAAAAATACCGAATATTGGCAGGTACCGTTATATGAGGGCTACACGAAAATGTGGACCGACATGGCCCATTTACGAACTTAACCTTCCTACACAAGTGAGCAAAATTTTAGCCGTATATCTAAATTCGTTCGAATGATTATATAAGACAGACGAACAGACGCACAGACGGACATCGCTAAATCTACTTAGAATATCACGCTGGTCAAGAATATATATACTTTGTAGAGTCTGACCTAAGTATTTCTTGGAGTTTCAAACGGAATGACAAGGTACCTTTCGAACAATTATGGTACACATTTCGAAAATCACCTTTATATCTTAACCGCAGATACCAACAGTGACATTCCTATCAAATTTTATTATTCCAACTACATCCCTTCACCTAATACCCAATTTAGTACCACTCAGTACTTTTCGAACAATTATAGTATACATTTTTACCTCCACCCACCTCCATATCTTTACCACAGATACCAACAGTGACGTCTATATCGAATTTCAGGTTTGCTGTTTTATCCCTTCATCCAATACCAAATTTAGTACCATTTAGTAGTTTTCGAACAATTATAGTACTTATATGCAAAACCACCCCATTTCTCAATTCCAAACCCCAATATCAAATTAAAGTTGAGTACCCTTTCGCTCAGATCGCACACTTAGTACACATTTCCAAAACCACCTTCGTATATCAAACTTAATTTCCAACCTTGATTCTCATAACAGATTTCAAGTTTTTAGCTTCATCTGTTCACATAGTACCAAATGCATTTCCAAAACGTCCTACATAACCTAATCCTACTTTCTAACAGCTGTCTTAATTCCAAATTTCAGGATTCCAGCTCTATCGGTTCAACTAAATCCAAATTGTACCAAATTTAGTAAATTTTAATACAAATTTCTGCCTCTATAATCTTATTTCCAATTTTCAGGATACCAGCTCTATTGGTGCAGCCAAATCAAAATCGCACCAAATTTAGTACCATTAAGTACATTTAAGTACAAATTTTCACAATTGTCCTTACCATACAGTCCAAAAATATCTTATTTTCAAATTTCAGGATTCCAACTTTTTTGGTTCTCCCAAAATTAAAATAGTACTATTTAGTACAAATAAGTACGAATTTCCAAATTTACTTACATTCCTCAGTCCTAAAACGCACTAGTAATCGAATTTCTAAGTTTCAGAATTCCATCTCTATCGGGTCACCCATATCGATATGGTAGTGAATTTATTACCATTTAGTACTTTTCGTACTCATAAGTACAAATTTCGAAAACTTCCTTCATATCCCAATTCTACACTCCGCCAGTTATGTTAATTTCAAATTTCAGGATTCCAGTTCCAACCGTTCCTCCAAATTCAAATTGTACTAAATTTAGTACTTTTCGTATACATTAGTACAACGACTCTACTCCTCAACCTTGATTCCCATTTCAAATTTAATGGTTTTTGCTCTAACCGTCCGCATGATACGGAATGGTACCAACTGTAGTAAATTTTAGTACTTTTCGTGCACTTATAGTGCGATTTTCCAAAAACCCTTTTGTACATCTACCAAACCCTTCATCTGTGACCCTCATTTTGAATTTAAGAGTTCTAGCTCTACTGCTTCTACCTACATTCCTCAGTCCTAGAAAGCAATAGTAATCTTATTTTTAAATGTGAGAATTCCAGCTCTATCTGTCCACCCAAATCGAAATTGTATCAAATTTAGTACCATTTAGTACTTTTCGTGCTTATAAGTACAAATTTCGGAAACGTCCTGCATATCCAAATCCTACACTCCGCCAGTATTTTAGGATTCCAATTCCATCCGTTCCTCCAAATTCAAATTGTACTAACTTTAGTACCGCTTAGTACTTTTCCTATACATGAGTACACACTTCCAAAACTACCCTATTACATCGACTCAACTCCTTAACCTTGATTCCTTGTTAGCTCCAATCGTTCGAGTGATATGAAATGGTGCTAAATGTAGTACACTTTAGTACTTTTCGTACACTCATAGTGCGATTTCCCAAAAACCCTTTTGTACGTTTATCATGCACTCCATCAGTGACTCTCATTCCAAATTTAAGGGTTCTAGCTCTACAGCTCTCTCAAATGCAAAGGATACCATGTTTAGTACCTTTTAATAGTTTTTGTACCGTTCTAGTACGAATTTCCATAAACCCAGCCTTATCTGACCCCTTCGGACCAAGGGTGACCCTCACCCAAAATTTTAAGATTCTATATTTAGCCATTTCGTTTGAGCTTTGATGAATTGTTACATATAGTACTTTAGTACCTTAGGTATGAATTGCGGCTTCTTAGTACTATTACCACTTTATCTGAATTCTAGTTCTATTAAATGTTACGATTTTTGAAATCAAAATTTATAGCTGTTAAATCACGAGGGACTAATTGTCAGAGTTCTAGACCAAACAGGACAAAATTGTATCTAAAGGTTCGCGTCTGAAGTGACCTACAGAAATTTATCCCAACTAACCTAATTTTTAGTACCTTTTAGAAGAAATGTTATTAGTTCGAGGCTGAGCCTTACTTTAGTGTTCGATTTTATATCTATCTGTAATGTAGAAGGGAAACTAATAGTTTTTAACTCACCATCTGTCAACGAGTTACGCCGCTCCTCGGCATTCTCCTCGTCACTGTCAATGTGGGGAAATGATTTCCCCAAACAGAATCTGGGCAGGGCAGGTGATGTATTCGAGTCGTTCGGCTGGTTATCAGTTTCACATTTTTTATTATTGTTGTTGTTTTTGTGACCATTACAAACACTGTGGTTGTTATTGTTGTTGTTGTTGCTGCTGCCATGATTTCCATGATTCAAATGTCCCTTCGTATAGGACGAATTGCTGGAGCTGCTGGAGGCAGTACTTAGACCACTGGCACTGCTGTTACCAGACGATGTCGAATTCATGCTATCCTGACGATTGGTGAAACGACGCAACATATATTTGTTGTTGTGCAATTTATTGTTTTTGGTTATCAACTCGCTGCGCCGCAGAATACATTTTGGAGAACCGGGCGGCGCATTGTTATTCTTTTGATCTGCGAGCGCTTTATTCGCCAGAGTTTGTTGTTTTTGCTCCGAGTCAACATTTTGGTTGTACGGTGCCGAGAGCTGATTGAGCGACAGACGCTCTATGCTGTGCTCAACACCGATTAGGAGGCTCTGCAGAAGTTGCGGCAAATCGTCACTTAACATTTCGAGTGCTATGGGGCTCAGGTACAGAGAACTGTCATATGGATCGAGAGCAACAATCTTGAGGGTTGAATCTCCTTCAAATGAATGGGGGGAGTTTGTCGTAACGATTGACGCCGGCGACGATGAGGTGGTAGCTGTTGTTGATATTGTTCGGGTTTTGTCGATGCAATTTAGAATTGGTGTACGCCAAATGGCATACAGTTTTGGTTCGGACTTATTTTCACCTGTAAAGATGTGGAAAGAAAAATTGAGTTTTTAATTAATATTTAAATGAAAACAATGGATTTAAAGAGCTGAGAGGGGCATTAGCCTTTAAGTAGGTTTTCAGGATTAGATGAACATAGTTAAGGTAAAATAAAGTAGATTATGAAAGTAGAGCTAATAATTTGATCGTCAATTTTAACCCCAAAGCGATTCAACGGTGTCCTTATGGTCCTCTTCAAAACTGATTTGTCGGGGGTATTATAACTGGGTGCTTACCAAAATGTGGAGCGATATGACCCATTTTCTATACCAATGATTCTGGCTACCATACATAGTATGGAGGGTATAATAAGTTCAACATTCCGTTTGTAGCTCATCGAAATAATAATCGAAAATATATATAAACAAGTAAGCAAAGGCTACAGTCGAGCGGGGCCGACCGTTGAATACCCTACAACACTATAATAAACGATACAGTTAATATAGGCGAGATACCCGAAATAATTCCACAAGATATTGTGACAAATAATAAAAGAAAACCATCAGGTTTCGTTCTCTAATTTTCGAATAATAGCAACTTAAACTAATTTTCTCATTTCCAATTTATTGGTAGATGTTGCACTTAAATGGTCTTCCTAGATCTGGAACCAATATTTCCCAAAGACCTATAATCTCTCAGAAGTGGCAAAAGATTAACATTTATTATTGGTTTTTGACTGAAACGCATCTATATGAGATACAGACATTTGACTATATTCTTCAATGAAATCAGCGTTAACGAAATATTCAGAAGTGGTCTTTCCTGTATTTGTGAATTCTCCAAAAAGTCACTGAAATGGACATTTTCGTATTTTATTTACAAGAGTTGGCAAACTATTTCGCACATTGAATATTTTTGGATGGCCATCCAAAACTGCGTGGCTTTTGCAATGTCCGGTAACCCCCATAATTACGACCTGCTGACAATTTTGCAGTTTTTTGGTCCATTTCAACCCCTAAATATATGGCGATCATCTCCAAAAAGAATAGGCTTTTATTCTGACCCTCATCTTATCTCCATGCAAAATTTCGTAAGGATTGGGCCATAAATGCGATCTGTATATGATATCCTGATATCCTAACTACTTAGTTTTGTTAGCTGTAGAAATATTACCAAATGTTTAATTCAAAATGAAAATATGCCAAAAATATGACAAAATTGAAAAAAATATGAGAAAATTTTACAAAATCAATATTTTCATCTTTAGAGAGATATTTTTATGCGATTTTTTTAGACGTTTTATGTTTCCTGCCAAGAAGCCATTCTGAATTAATGAGAACTGTTGAAATCAGTTCAGCCGTTCTCGACATATAAGAGATTTTTCAAGCATATCTTCTTTGATAAACATATATATCGCACATATTTTGCCATATATCTGATTTCTTGGATGTTAACATCAATGTAAAGATCAGAAGTAACCTTGTCATGGCTTTGTGATTTCGCCGGGATTTAAAATATTCGCGGTTTAATGAAAAATTTTGAATTTTTTCAACAAAAAAGATATGGTCTATTTTACCCGCTAAATATTATCCGATGACCACCCAAATGGGTAGGCTTCTTGCCAGCCCTAAACTCTAGCTACATTCGAAATTCCGCGTCGATTGGTCTATAATTGCGACCTGTAGAGCAAGTGCAAAATCAGGAATTTTTTCAGTTTTTGGTCCATTTCAACCCCTAAATATTATGCGATCATCACCAAAAGAAATAGGGTTCTATTCTGACCCTAGCCCCACCTCCATTTTAAATTTCGTGAAGATCGGACCATAATTGCGACCTGTAGAGTGATTACAAATTAACATGGACAGACGGACAGACGGACAGACGGACAGACGGACAGACGGACGGACGGACATACATAGCTGGATCGACTCAGCTCGGCGAGATAGGAAGATCCATATATACTTTCCTATGTGGGAAATCAATATTTCGTGGTGTTACATAATTTTTGGCCCAATCAAACTTATAATACCCCCAACACATAGTGTTGTAGGGTATAAAAAATATATAATTCTAAGACCCGTTGTAATCACGCTAGAGTCAAAACGAATTAAGATAGGAAGCTAAAATTTTGCACAGACCAGTCTTTTGTGTGCAGGCAGGTTAATTTCGAAGATGGGCCATATCGGTATCGGTTTAGGCACATTTTTCAACGGAATTGTCTGAAATTCCACATAAGGAGTTTTTTCTGATTACTTTACCCCCTTGGGGAGAATTGTCTATATAAGTCTACGGTATCGGTATCCACCAAATAACGGTACCTCCTAACATTCGGTATTTTGAAGATTGTAGCCAACTTTTTCAATTGAAATTGTCTGAGAATCAACACCAGGAGTTGCTTCTGAGTACTTTACCGCCAGTAAGAGAATTATCTATATAGGTCCACGATATCGTATATCCCCCATTTAACAGTACCTCTGGATATACGGTTTTTTATGATTTTAGCCACATTTTTAATGAAATTTTCTGAAAATTCACACTAGGAGTTCCTTCTGTGTACTTCAGCCCCTGTAAGATATAGGTCCACGATATCGTATATCCCATATATAACGGTACAACCCGATATTTGGTATTTTGATGATTGTAGCCATATTTTTCAACAGAATTGTCTGAAAATCCACACAAGGAGTTCCTTCTGAGAACTTTACCCCCTGGAAGAGAATTTCCTATATAGGTCCACGATGTCGTATATCCCCGTATCGACATTATTCAACGGAATTGTTACAAATTTCGTACTTAAAGTTCGGAATCGATACGATAGCCAATGATAAACATTTTTTTTTAGATCTAGGGTTTAGTAAAACATTGAGATATACTCAGTTTAAAAAGGATCGCTGACTTCTTTCGCATTTTATAAGGGTTATAAGTAACCACAATGTTGACCTTTTTAAGAGAGGTATCAGAAGGAGTGGTCCGATATATTTATTATTTATACCCGATCTTGTGTTGATAGAAATATTGAGATGTACGAAATTCGAAGAAAATCTTTTTTTTGTAATTATTCAAAAATTTTACCCTTTGTGTGGGAGGTACCTGAGGGAGTGGTCCGATATATTTTATGCGTCTTCAAACCAGAGCTTGTGTTGGTAGAAATAATGAAGTGTGTCAAATTTGAAGACAATCGTACTCTTATTTCGTATTTTAAAAGAGTTATAATTATTCCAAATCGTGGCCCTTTTGTGATGGAGGTACTTGACGGAGTGGACCGATATTGTCCATTTTTGCACCTAGCACTAACAAAAATATTAGGATATTTAAAATTTGAATAAAATAGAATGATCTTTTCTTGTATTTAAATATTTTCTCTGAGCTTAGATATTTTCTCCCCTTTTGTAGGGGAGTGGACCGAAGGAGTGGACCGATATTGTCTATTTTTCGAACACGATCTAGGTTTAACAATAATATTGTGTAATATGTATATGATATATCAAGTTTGGATCAAATTGGATACTCCAAGCCAGCCAGGCAGACAGCCAGATGGACGGAAGGACAGTACAGATCGACTCCAAATGTCCTGAAAGAGACTTGGTCTAAACAGTCGGAAGGACACCCTTAGATCGACTTCAAATGATTTGGTTCAAACAGTCCTAGGGTCTAAGACCGTAACTTCGATGAGGCATATTTTGGACGCATGAAAAAGGACCAAAAACGCCTGAGAGTTACAATTTTCGATCAAAATATGTCTTGTATTCTTATCAGCGATATTGCCGAAGACACTCTAAATGCACGGATTCCGAAGAATCTTAATCTGGAAGTTTCCAAAAGGGGGGAACTTGTCCCCTCTATTTATGTTACTTTGTGATGTAAACTGAATTTTCCCCATAATTATTGGAAAAAATCGCATTGTATGTTAGATGTGGGTGCTTTGTCATTTCTGATCGAGGCGGAGATAAAGAAACTTAGGAAATATTCATTCTCGATCCATGCTAGAGCAACAGGTAGGATCAACTAAAAAGTGTCATAAATATTTTAAATAAGGGGAGATATTTAATGAAGAACAAGTTAAAAAGCACTAAGTTCGGCCGGGCCGAACTTTTAATACCCTCCACCATTTGCAACGAATTTGGAAATTTTTAAAAAATAAAATCCTTAAAAAATTCTGTTAAAATTTTAAAAATACCGAATATAGCTGTCATATTGGGGTCTATACGACGAGGACATACATAGGCATTGTTTGTCATAAGCCATTACCATATTCAAATTGGAAACTTGAAATAAACGGTAAATAATGTAGCTAAAATCATCAAAATATCGTATATAAGGAGGTGCCGTTAAATTGGAGCTGTGCAAAGACCTGGACCAGCATAGACAGTTTTCTGTCACAGGCTGTAGCATCCATTACGAACTTCAAATACCACATTTCAAACAATTTTGGTGGGTATTGTACCTAAAATCGTCAAAATACCGAATATGGGGAGGTACTGATATATGGGGCCTATACGAAGACCTGGACCCGCACAGACAATTTTCTGTCACAGACTGTAGTATTCATTACGAACTTCAAATACCAATTTTCAAACAATTCCGGTGAATAATGTCGCTAAAATCATCAAAATACCGAATATAGGGAGGTACCGTTATAGGGGGGCTATACGAAGACGTAGACCTGCACAGACAATTTTCTGTCTTAGGGTGTAGTATCCATTTTGAGCTTCAAGTACCAAATTTGAAACAATTCCCGTGAATAATGTCGTTAAAATCACCAAAATACCGAATATCAGGAGGTACCGTTATATGGAGGCTATACGAAGAAATGGACTTGCACAGACAATTTTCTATCTTAGACTGTAGTATTCATTACGAACTTCAAATACCTATTTTCAAACAATTCCGTTGAATAATGTCGTTAAAATCATCAAAATACCGAATATAGGGAGGTACCGTTATATGGGGGCTATATGAAAACGTGGACCTACATGGCCCATTTACGAACTTAACCTGCCTACTGGAATAATAAACATGTGTGCAAAATTTTAGCCATCTATCTCAATTCATTCGAAAGATAGCGTGATTACAACAGACGGACAGACAGACAGACAGACGGACATCGCTAAATCGACTTAGAATTTTACGCTGATCAAGAATATATATACTTTGTTGGGTCTGACATGAGTATTTCGAGGAGTTACAAACGGAATGACAAAGTTATTATACCCTCCATAGTATGGTGGAGGGTATAAAAACTCCCTACACTGGTAGAGAGGGATGTGTTTGACTCCATACAACATTTTTTAGTCGATTTCCGCCGCTAAATATTTTCCTATCTGCGAAAAATGGAATACCAGACTTCTTTAGTCGTCGTATATAGTGTTGTAGGGTATAATAATGTGGAAACCCAAAGAGCCATTGATTAGTCTTAAATCAGACGTCATCTCCTTATTAACGCTGCCATTTTGCTATGAAATTTCACCGATGGAAATAATTTAACTTGGATATCGTTGAAAAGGCAGTGCAAAAAAACCTATATACTCCGGGGAGTGATCTAAAAAAGATCATAAACTCGAACAAGTTTTTTGTATGAATTGATGGCAAGTCTACCGCGGGCGAAATCAGGAGGGCGATCTGTTCTCCACGGTCAATCTGACAAAGATTGAGGGCATGGAAGAATCGAAAAATAGGAATATGCGAGCATGTCAACGAGGGGTGCGAGGAGTTAATACCTTAGGCAAGGCGGATAAGCATCAGCTGAAGCAGCATGATTTAGCTGAAATCTTTAAAGTTTTACCGTCCGTGCAATACGTCCTTCTTGCAATTTCTTGATTAATATGCTCCACTATCAATGTCATATGCATATATACATATAAATATGTGTAAGTGGTCTGCCGTTTCAAGCGTTTTCAGTTTATTTGCAACAAATTACTTCACCCTTTGTCAATTACGTTCGGCGAACCATTTTTCGCTTTGTTCTTGTTTTTCTTCTTATCTTTCACGTGTGGTCGTATGGGTTTTGTTTTTCATTTTTTTAAATAATATATAAAAGTTTTTCGTTACTCACCTGGTTTAACACACAAATAAATCTCGGCGGGTTTCAGGTGCCTGTCATCAAGGCCCCCCAAATGAAGTATAACTTCGCCAATAGGTGTTACTAGAGGCCATCCTTGACACCAAATTAAAGCCTACGAGACAAGAAAAGAAGCGATGAAGTAAAAAACAATTTTCAAATAATAAAAAATCAACAAAACCAAACAAATTATAAAACATGACTGACATAAAACTCATTAAAGTGTTGTTGTTTAAAATTCATATTCAATAGATTTTTGTTGTTTTTTGTGGAGAATGCATTGAAAATGCAATAAAAATGCAATTTATTTCCAAACAAACAAATGAGAATTTTTCTGTAAAATCATGATGTGGTGTTGTTGCTGTTGTTTCTTGTCCAATGGCGACAAATGTGACTTTTCAATTACCATCGAATAAATCTTGCCCTCATTTATTGCCACTTGGAAGTTGTTTCGAGGCTAGTGGGTAGCTGTGTTTAAAAATTTCAAAGACGTGTTTGAAACAACATTAACGTTTATTTTATTATGGAATACAAAATTACCTTTTTCCGTAGAAGGCCGAAAGATCGTCCTCAATAGAAGACCAAATCGCCTTTCTTCTAAAGAAGAGCAGGTGGTCCTCTTCTCAGAAGACCAGGTGGTCTTCCTCTAAAGAGGACCAGGTGGTCTTCTCCTATAGAAGACCAGGTGGTCCTCTTCTAAAGAAGACCAGCTGGTCTTCTTCTAAAGAAGAAGAATACAAATTGATCTTTTTCCGTAGAAGCCCGAAAGATCGTATTCAATAGAAGACCAAATCGCCTTACTTCTAAAGAAGAGCATGTGGTCTTCTGCTATAGAAGAGCATGTGGTCTTCTCCTATAGAAGACCAGGTGGTCTTCTCCTATAGATGACCAGGTGGTCTTCTCCTATAGATGACCAGGTGGTCTTCTCCTATAGATGACCAGGTGGTCTTCTCCTATAGATGACCAGGTGGTCTTCTCCTATAGATGACCAGGTGGTCTTCTCCTATAGATGACCAGGTGGTCTTCTCCTATAGATGACCAGGTGGTCTTCTCCTATAGATGACCAGGTGGTCTTCTCCTATAGATGACCAGGTGGTCTTCTCCTATAGATGACCAGGTGGTCTTCTCCTATAGATGACCAGGTGGTCTTCTCCTATAGATGACCAGGTGGTCTTCTCCTATAGATGACCAGGTGGTCTTCTCCTATAGATGACCAGGTGGTCTTCTCCTATAGATGACCAGGTGGTCTTCTCCTATAGATGACCAGGTGGTCTTCTCCTATAGATGACCAGGTGGTCTTCTCCTATAGAAGACCAGGTGGTCTTCTCCTATAGAAGACCAGGTGGTCTTCTCCTATAGATGAATAGGTGGTCTTCTCCTATAGATGAATAGGTGGTCTTCTCCTATAGATGAATAGGTGGTCTTCTCCTATAGATGACCAGGTGGTCTTCTCCTATAGATGACCAGGTGGTCTTCTCCTATAGATGACGAGGTGGTCTTCTCCTATAGATGACGAGGTGGTCTTCTCCTATAGATGACCAGGTGGTCTTCTCCTATAGATGACCAGGTGGTCTTCTCCTATAGATGACCAGGTGGTCTTCTCCTATAGATGACCAGGTGGTCTTCTCCTATAGATGACCAGGTGGTCTTCTCCTATAGAAGACCAGTAGGTCTCCTTCTATAGTATACCAACTGGTCTTCTCCCATAGAAGACAAAAATGATCTTCTCCTATAGAAGACCAAAATGGTCTTCTCCTATAGAAGACCAAAATGGTCTTCTCCTATAGAAGACCAAAATGGTCTGACCCTACGGGTGACCAAATGGTCTTCTTCTTTAGAAAACCTATAGTTTTTATAGAAGTCCGCTGCACATCATGCTCTTCCTTTTCGATCCGAATCGATTTATTTCTAAACGCTAAAACACTGTGCTGTTGCAGGTGCTCTCCACAAAAGATGTGCTTGCGGCTGACATTCACGCATGCCCATTATTTATGATCTGTATTCTGTTGCTGAACAAATGAACCAACGAACGATCGAATGAATGTGCATTTGTCATACAGATGTAAATTTTTCAGATAAGAATTTCGTAACGTATGTCACCACGACGCAGTTCGTTGAAAAATTCAAAATCATGCTGTTAATGTTTCGGACACCAACTACCCACAAAAAGTTCCACTCCTTAGTAAAATGATTGAATTGCTGAAAAATGAGAAAATACGCAAACAACGCTATTGGCTGTCATTTACGCTACTTTGGCAATGAAAATAAAACGATAACCATTAGTTGTCTGACTGCCGAACAACATTGACAAAAATCGATGATAAATTGTATTTTGATAATATTGAAAAAAATAATGAACAAAAGATGAAAAGAAGAGACCGTGCCCCTTTTTCGGTTCGACTGCACGCATCACTGACCCTCTCTTTTTGGGGGTGTAGAACCAAAATCACATAAAAGGGGACTTTTGTATATATGTGTGTGAGACTGTTTTCGTCAAGAATGGTGATCATTTGTTCTTCGGTTGTTATTGACATTAAAAAGTGTAATTTTTATGGTTGATTTCATTGATGATATCATGTGGCGGCGATGATTATTAGCGGATACATAGATGTGGTCTATTTACAAATAAACAAAAATTAATTGTTGTAATTAGTTTATTTTGAGTATTCAAATATTCAGTTCAATGCCTAGTTAAATATTGATAGAAACATAGTTGGACTTTTGGGAAAATCGCATATTTCTAATTATGACAAATCGCCGAAATTAGTGGGTGAGAAGACTGTCTTATACCAGATTCCAGAGATTTTAATATTTTTTATACTCTTATCCATACATTCAAGGATGTATTAACTTTGTCATTCCTTCCTTTGTCACTCATCGAACTAATCAGGTCAGGTCAGACTTTACAAATTTGTAATGCTCGTCCGCAGTCTCTGTATATCGTAATCACGATATTTTTTCGAACGAATTAATATTATAACGGCATCTTCTGATATTTCGTATCTGATAATTTCACCTACATTTTACAAAATAATGTTTGCAATTTGTCCCATGTGACAGTTGATTTTAGACAGTTTCCCACGAAGGTATCTCAATTTTCTGTTGTTATTATGTACCACATAATTCTATTTATGTACCTCAATTAATTGCTAGTGCATGATCCAATCCCCCCTTCCCCCTTCATTTCCAACGAAAACCAGTTAGGAATACGACTATATGATACCCTACACCATCATGCATATTTAGTAGAGCTCCCGTAATAAAAAAAAATATTTGAAGTAGATCATACCACATATCAACACATGGCTTTAGAGTAGTTATAGTTTGGTTTCGGCGGAAACTAATACATGGTAGGCATATTCATTCCGAATCGATTTTCACTGAATTTGACGGAGACATTATAAAATAACATTGCTATAGAGTGTAGAATATCACTTCGAGAAGGACTATATTAAAAAAAAATAATATATCGGAGCCGAGTTCCACAAAATATAAATGTACATCTCGAAATTCACTCAATTTGGGCTGATATAAGCCATTATTTCCACAATAAACCTGATATCACATTAATGTGAGCTATATATAAATCTCAGCCGAGGAACTGAAACACCAAATCGGATGAAACATATATATGAGAGCTATAGCTATATCTGAACCGATTTTATCCAAATTTGATGTTCTTGCTTCTAGACAGAATTCGGTCTGATTGGCCAAAATTAAAGTTATTTGCACTGATATTGACCATTTGGTCAGTTGAAGATATATGTGGGAGCTATATACAAAACTGAACTGATATTGATACAATTTGGCAGATATATTTCTGGGCTGTATCTGATATCTGGTACCAAATATCATTCTTGTGGAGTGCAACAGAAAGAAAATAGACTCAAAAGAGCTAAAGAGTTACTTCGCTTGGCCGAAAGTGGTGAACTGCCGAATTGGGTTTTCTTCGATGGGAAAACATTCCTTGTCCAGCAGTTTGTAAACAAATAAAATGATCGTGTTTACAGCCGATGGTCGCACTCCCCTCGTATTAATCGACGTGGCATCAGAATAAATGCCGAATATTATTCTGGAGGGTGTATTAGAGCCTTGGGCACGCAAACATTTCGGCCGCATACCTTGGACATTCCAATAGGACTCAACACCATCGCACTCAGCACGCGCCACCCAAGAAAGGTTACAAAATGAGGTTCCTCGCATCATTTTAAGCGCACAATGGCCACCAAAATCTCCGGATACCAATACGTTTGACTATTGTGTCTGGATTATTTTGGAAAGCAAGGTTGGCATTAACAAATACCAAAGTGCCGATCACCTCAAGCAAGCGCTTCGCTGGGAATGGGCCAAAATATCGCAGAGCAACATTCGGGCAGCGTGTGACGGTTTAATTGCTCATTTGAAGGCCATAATTCGTGTCAAAGGTGACCAATTCGAACAAATCTGAACTTATTCTAAAATATGATGATATTTCCGACATTTTTTGCTTTCCTTAAAAAAAATTTAAAATATGTTAAAAAGCAGTATGTTCGGCCGGCCTGAACTTTGAATACCCTCCACTATTTGAAACGAATTTGGAAATTTTCAAAAAATAAAATCCTTAATAAATTCTGTTAAAATTTTGTCAAATTTTTTACGGATTTGTCTAAAAATTGGAATTAGTTGGTCATAGTAGCTTCTAGCTCCGTTGGCGAAACATTGTATGTATAGGTTCACGTTTTTGTATAGCCCTATATAGCGGTACCTCCCGATATTCGGTATTTTGATGATTTTTGCCACATTTTCCCACGAATATGTCTAAAACTTGGTATTTGTGGGTCATAATTGGTTCTAATGTTTTCATTACCCTAAGGTGGAGGGTATTAAAAGTTCGGTCCGGCCGAACCTTATGTTTTTTTACTTGTTAAAAATAAAAATTCTAAAAAAGTTTGAAAATAGTGTTTGATATTCCTCAAACTTCTCATATTCTCATGTTTAAAAAAAAACAATTAATAAAGTATTACTCGGTTTTTCCGACAGATGTATACCCACTTAGCTTATGTCTGTTTGTACTTATATATTGACTTGCGTTAGGATTAGTCAAGGGTTGGCCAATATTGTACGTTTTTTTCTGAC